AAACTATGGGGAATCAGAGTTAAAGCCAGATCTAAAACTTTCTCACACCATGAAAATATCAAAACTAGGCATGAAGTAACATTTAAGAAAGACCAGGGTTCAGGTCTAAGGCAATCTTCCGAACTTCACATTCATTCTTGATTCTGTAATACTGACAATTACCCTTCTCTCCACCTCTGAAACTTCTAGGAAACTGAGAGGGCTCAGGGTTGGTTGGTTTGCTTGATTTAACTATATATATAATGCAAACAATCGGCCTTTCTGGAACTGATTTACTCTCCTTCCCCTGCTTTCTTTCTCTCCAAAGTACTTAGCAATGCTTGAAGTTATATCTATCTATTTATTATACTTATATACTTATTTCTATTTATTTGTAAACCCCCTGAGAACTGAGATACTTGGGCTGTTTCATTCTTGGGCCTGAAACCCTAGCATGTAAAACAGTTCGTGGCATATAGTACATACTCGAAAAATATTTATTGAGTGAATTCAGAAAGTGACAAATTATCAACTATCAGATACTTTTATTTAAAACAAATTATCCATTTATCATCACTCATGAGGATAATTACAGGAAAAGAAATGTCTTTTTTCTCCCCTACATTTGTGACTCAATCTTTTGAGGCAAGAATCCTTTGAGAATTTCATAAATGCAATGGTGCTTTTCCCTAAAAAACTGCACTTTCTTGAACACACGCAAAAGTGTGCATGCAGTTTCAACTTGTGGATCATCCTTTTAGGGCAGAGGTCTGTGAATCGAGAGGACTGAATCCAGAGAGCCAACCTTGGATGGGAAATAAAATTACACCTCAGTTTTCACAAATCTCTAACTAAAATCAGCACCTCCTTCTATTATGAATGTAGGCAACGAACCACAGTAGATCAGCAGTATAGTTAATTTGGTCCCCAATAGAAATCACAGGTCATTTCATATCACGTATATGCTGCAGATACCTCGAAATATCATTTATTCTCATCACTACCCTGGAGTTATAATATTTATTAGACCTACCACTATATCTTGTTATTTAAAGTGTTAAGAGAAGCATATTTATTACTATTTCACTAATTTTAAAAATATTCTGAGGGCTTCCCTGGTGGCGCAGTGGTTGAGAGTCCGCCTGCCGGTGCAGGGGACACGGGTTCGTGCCCCGGTCCGGGAAGATCCCACATGCCGCGGAGCAGCTGGGCCCGTGAGCCATGGCCGCTGAGCCTGCGCGTCCGGAGCCTGTGCTCCTCAACGGGAGAGGCCACAACGGTGAGAGGCCCTCATACCGCAAAAAAAAAAAAAAATATTCTGAAAACTATTTCAATATAGTTGGGTTCCTTTGTTTTTGTATATATTTTGACTTATTATACATTTTAAAACATTATCCCAAGAACATAAGCTTCTGCAGCTTGCCAAAGAGTTATACACGGGGGAGCAGGAGGGAGGTTAAGAAATTCTGCTTTGGGGAACCACTGACCTCAAGTTAGGAACCTCTGCTTATAAGGTATAAACCTCAAGCTGACTTAGAAATCTTCAAACCTTACCAGACTCATGTTATAGTGTACCGCCTCCCAAACACATGCTTTTTAAAAATTAATTTTTAATTTGAATTTATCTTTTAAAAATATGTAATATATATTCACATCTCAAAATTCCAAAAATATGTAGCACGCAATTCAAACTTTTTCTCTTACCTCTGTCCCTCAGTCTACCACCCCCCTCCACTCCCAGAGGAAATTAAGTTATCTATTTCTTGTGCCAAATGACTTTCATTTTTCTTACAAGATTGGGAAATAAAATCTCCAAGTTAGGTACTATCACGGGAAATATAAACTACATATAGTATTTAGGAAATCTGTAAATTTAAAAAAGTGCTTGGTTCTAGCATTTTTTTCATTACCAATAAGATATCAGACTAAGGGGGCATATCTTTAAGGGTGGTCATAATACCAGTTTTTAGATTGACTGTTATGTCTTTTATTATTAATTCAGAAGTCATTTATGACGTCTATTCAAGTTGAACTAAGGATATGACCACAGACTGTCATGAAAATTACTTTGAATGCTTTTTTTTCCAAAATAACTTATGCGTCTAAACTGACTTTTTCTACAAATCAATAAAAAAATAGTAACAGAAACATGGGCAAAGGACAGACAATTCAGGGATAAAATACAAATGTTCAGTAAACATATAAAGATATTTAATTTCACAAATAATAAGAAAATTCAAATTCAGACGGGACCCCTTTTATTCATCTGTCAGATTAGCAAAAAAAAAAAAAAAAAAGTGAGAATCTCCAGTGGTGGAAGGGTGTGGGGAAATGAATGTCATCACAGCATGGTGACTGCAGGGTAAGCTGGCACAACTTTTTTTTTTTTTTCTGGCATAACTTTTTGAGGGCAAATAAAATTTTATATATAAATAGTCTTCACCCCAACAATCCCATTTCTAGATAACTATTCTATAGAAATAAACGACCAGGCTCACAAAAATGCATGTACAAGGATATTCATGGCAGCAATGCAAGTAACAAGAAAACTGGACATAATCTAAACCTCCTTAAATAGGGGCATTATTAAACTGTAACACATTCATACTATGGAATATTATGCAGGAGTTTAAAGGAATGGGGTAACCCTCTATGTACTGGGAAGGAAAGAAATCTAAGACATATCAGGAAATGAAGGAATCAAGTTTCAGGATGTTAATTATGTAAAAACAGATAAGAAAAACACACAAACCTCTTTTGCTATCTGTAAATATGTATGTACTCAAATGTATGGAAAAGAGTCTGGAAGGATTAATACTAAACTCCAAGTAGTGGGTGTGGGATTAGGGCAAAAGGAGGGTTTTCACTATACCTGTTATTTCACTGTTATATATTGAGAATATAATCATGTATTACTTGTATAATGGAAAATAAGTTTAAATTGTCTCTTACTGATTTTCAAGAGGTCCTGCCAAATTTAATTTTTTAAATAAAAATAGAATTTCAATCATTAGGTTGCTTTGGGATATGGAAGGGGAAGTACCTTTGCTCACAGGTATTGACCTCAAAATTCTGGACCAAGAAGGATCTTATAATGCAGTTAGCTTTTTGTATTCATATTTGGGGAGAGTATACTCACAGCTTCTCAGCCCAGCGGTATGCCTTCCATATACTTTCATCAAGGTAAGAAATAGAGTTTCCTTGGAAATTTCTGTGAAGAAACACAGTTCATATGCTTGAATAGGTAGAAAAAGAATGTAGAGAATAAGGAAAAGAATCATGGCCACCATGTAGGGAATATTCAAATGCAGAAAAGACCAGCTTTTTAATTCCCACAGCTTCCCAGCTTCCCAGTGTGCACAATTAATAAAAACATACTGTGAGGCCACTGGCACAAACAATGAGGCATCTCCTCAGAACCTGAACTTCCTATCTGTCCAAATTCTTGGATACATAATGCCAGTTACTTTTTTTCCAAAATCACTTATGTGTCTAAAATGACTCCTACAAATCAATGAGAAAAATGGCAAACATTTATCAATATCAGCAAATAAATATTAAGAAATCCTATGGCAGGCAACACCAAAGCTTTGGCTCAGTGCCCTCAGAATCTCTCCAGGTGTTAGAAGGATACGGGAAGGCAATTAGAAATTAGAGGGACTATTACGAAAATATCTCTTAAACATATTGCCTAGGGAAAAGCACAAGTCACTGAACAAGGAGTAAAGTTATTACCTCATTAGGGGAACAAAATGCAAAGGAAAGAGATCGGAAGGAAGGACACACATCAAAACAGTAACAGGAGTTACCTTATTGGTGGTAGGGAAGGTGGGGTGGAATTTTCACATTTTATCCTATATACTTCTGTGGCATTTCTTTTTTTAAACAGTGAGAATGTGTCCATGAATTAGACATGTTTAAAAGAAGCTGTTAAGTGCCTGAGGTTCAGTTTGAACCACTAACTCAGTGGATGACTGAATCTTTCGCTTTAGCTTTGCCCTCTTCCCTCAGCAACAATGGAACTATTCAGTTTATATGCGCATTTTTCACGGGAGTCAGAAAGAAGTCAAAACGGATACCTGCCTGCCCATCTGCCTGAGGGACATTTCCGCTCAAACAGAGCCTTCTGGTTGCTTTATGCTCACCAATAAAAGATGCCTAAGACTGAACTCATCTCCCTCAAACTGACTCTGCTTCCCAACTGCTGTATTTCCACCTGTTATACCACCATCATTCTGCCCCTCAACACATGTGATTTTTCTCTTTCCTGTACTACAATCCCCCAACTCTAGTCAATTACTACATCTTGTCAGGTTTTCCTCTGTAGTACTCTCAGGATTTTCTTTCTACTTCCATCACAACCACTCTAATTCGGCCCCTTTTCACTTTACTCCTAGATTTTGCTAAAGCATTCTATTTGGTCTCCCTGAACCAAGCTTTCCTCTCTAGGTCGCTCTACATATGAAATCTAAAATCAGCCTCTTGGTTTAATCATTTGTCTCTCTTGCTTGAATACTTGCAGTAGCTCCCCATATCTCACAGCATAACTTTCAAACCCCCGTTGCCGATAGTCAAGATATTTTATAATCTTATCTTTCATTGTTGCCTAACCCAATTCTTTACAGCCAGACTAATCTATTAAATTCTGATCATCCCTGCAGTCACACCTTTGCCTAGACTGTACTGCCTGTTATTTTTCTGACAAATCACAGCCAATCTTGAAGTCCCAGCTAAAGATTTAGCTTATCCATGCAGCCTTCTGTCACCTCCACACCCCTGTGATTACAGGTTCTGGTGAATTACAGCACGTTTCTGTATTTCTCTTAATACTTAATTATATATTACCTCCCTTTTAAGGCATATCCCCTTTCTTCCCACTTGTCATTGTCATGTTCTGGAGACAATGACATGTACTTCTGTGGCTCCCACAGTACTTAGCCCTGGGTTGGGCACAAAATGGGTGCTACATATAGAAAGCCAGGGGACAAAGATGAGTTCTAGATATAACTGAGGGACTGAATAATAATAATAGCTAACACTAAAATATATGCTAGGCACTGACAGAAGAGCTTTACGTGTATTAACTCATCTAAATCTCCCAATGAGATTGGAGTCATTGGGAGATTTAGCAGCCATAGGAGTCATCCTGTGAGACGATGACTACCATAATGCCCATTTTACAGATGAGGAAGTTGAGTCATAAAGCTAATAAATGACAGACCTGGGTTCAAACCCAGGTAGTCTGGCTCCGGAATCTCTACTCTTAACGACTTTTTTGTATTACCACCAATGAGATGGGGAGAGGGACATGTTGCTCTAAAGAGGATGGAGTAAAGATGGGAGAAGAGTAGATGTTAAGGAATTAAATAATGGGGTAAAAAATGGAGAAGGAAAAAATAAGGGCAATTACAAGACTGAAGGAGAGGGAAAAACAGTAAGAAGGAGAATGAAGATAAGGAATCATTGACAAACAAAAGGTGGAAACACAAAGTCAATGTGGATTGGGGAGATAAGGAGGGCCCAGGAAGACCTGAAGAAAGGCTGCATTGTCAGGGAGGATGCAGAGAACAAATGAGGAGAGGCGATTCTTACAGGAGGGTGAAGGTGCCGTTGTAGGCGTCAGGCTCTGGCTCAGGCACTCTGTGGAGCTTCTGCTTTGGGCTGAGACCAACACACGACAGTGTCTCATTTTTGCAGGTACAGAGCTCACATATGCTGATGTTTGTGGTGGCATTCTGCCCTGGCTGCTGCTTTTCTGGGGTATATCTTACACCAGGAAGACCTGTGGATACTGAATACTGAGTCGAAGGAAAAGGAACCGTCTCAGATGGCCTCGGTTGCTGAGATACGTTAACTCCCAGGTCCACAGGTGAAACTGTGACTTGAGACAGGTTTGGTTGTGCAAGTGTCACCTCAGGGTGTTTTGGAGGGGGAGCTGTAGTCTGCTGCCGGGCTGTAGAATGTTCAGACTCTGTAGTAGGTTCTGGAGTTGTGGTCAGCTCCAGGTTCAAAGGTTTAACTGTGATACTGGGTGATGTTGGAGGCTCAGTGTGATCCTGATGC